GCCGGGTGTACAATCTTTTGCATATATCCCAAACTTTTTTCCAAACCTTTTGGTTTGCCGGGATGCCCTTATTTTTCCTAGGTGTGTCAACCTAGCGGGTCTCTTATGCGGAGTATTTTTTAACTATGTCCGTGTTTATAGGATGTGGTAAGTCTTCACCATCCATGGTAGTCAGCATCATGGCACCGCTAGAGAAAACTCTCTTGACAACAAATGGCCCTTCGTAGGTAGGAGTCTATTTTCCTCTGGGGTCGCCTTGTGGCAGAATGATGCATTTTATCACCAAGTCGCCAGCTTGATATGCTCGAGGCTTTATATTTTTGTTGAAAGCCTTGATCATCCGTTTTTGGTACGTCTGACCATGACAAACAGCAGCCAGTCATTTTTTGTTGATCAAGTTCAGCTGATCCAATCTTGTCTGAATCCACTCGTCTTCGCCTAAGCCTGCCTCATTCATAATACTTAGTGAGGGAATCTGAACTTCCACTGGAAAAACAGCTTCCATGCCATAGACTAGTGAAAAGGGAGTTGCCCCAGTTGATGTTCTAGCTGAAGTGCGGTAGCCGTGAAGAGCAAATGGTAACATCTCATGCCAGTCCTTATAGGTTACTACCATCTTCTACACAATCATCTTGATATTTGTGTTGGCTGCTTCGACTGCACCATTCATTTTAGGTCTATATGGAGAAGAATTGTGATGCTTGATCTTAAACTTAGTGCAAAGCTCAGTAATTATAGCATTGTTTAGGTTAGTCCCATTTTCGGCGATGATCCTTTTGAGGATACCATAGAGGCAGATGAGGTTGTGTTTGATGAATCTGGCTACCACATTCTTGGTGACTAAATCAAACGAGGCGGCTTCAACCCATTTGGTGAAATAGTCAATAGCAGCAAGAATGAAGCGATATCCATTGGAAGCAGTGGTCTTGATTTCTCCAATCATATCAATGCCCCACATTGCAAATGGCCATGGAGCGGTCATGACATTCAGAGGGATAGGAGGCACATGGACCTTGTCATCATAGATTTAGCATTTGTGACAAGTTATTCAATGTTGATGGTAATCAGTCTCCATTGTTGACCAATAGTAACCAGCTCTCAAGATCTTCTTGGCCATCGTATGTCCACTTGAGTGAGTATCAAAAAGACCATCGTGCATGTCTTCCATAATTTCCTTTGCCTCCTTGTCCACACATCGGAGTAGAGTATAATCATGGTTGCGCTTGTACAATATACCATTACTTAGGAAGAATTTAGCTGAAAATCTTCTTAAGAACTTTCTGTCATTGATGGATGCTCCCTCAAGATACTCTTGTGCCTCAAGGTATCTCTTCACCTCATGGTACCATGGCTTTTCTTCGTCAGTGTCGAGCTCACAGCAATGTGCAGCTTCGTCGAATCTTTCAATTGTAATCATAGGGGCTTCGTTGTCCCATTTGACCTTGAACATTGAAGACATTGTTGCCAAGGCATCGGCTAGCTGATTATCTTCCCTAGGGAAGTGCTCATAAGTTATCTCTTCGAAGTAAGGAATCATGGATAGAACACGTTCCTTGTAAGGGATGAGATTAGGGTGTTTAGTGTCCCAATCTCCTTTTACTTGGCTAATCACTAGATCGGAATCCCCAAATGAATTCAAATGTTTGATCCTCAAGTCAATGGCAGCTTTCAGACCCAAGATACACGCTTCATACTCGGCCATATTGTTGGTTCAATCGAAGCATAGTCTGACAGTGAATGGAGTGTGGCAACCTTCAAGAGATATGATTACAGCACCAATTTTGTTACCTAAGGCGTTGGAAGCCCCATCGAAGACTATAGTCCATCGGGATCCTTGTTCAGGTCCGTCATACGGTCCAGGTTTCGCGCAATCAGTTACCAGCATGATGTTCTCATCAGGGAAGTCGAAGTTCATAGACTGATAATCATCCACTGCTTGATGGGCCAAATGATCTACTAGTACGCTTCCTTTGATGGCTTTCTACATGGTGTATTAAATGTTGTACTCGGTTAAGATCATTTTCCATCTGGCTATCCGTCCGGAAAGGGTAGGTTTATTGAAGATGTACTTAATTGGGTCCATCTTAGAAATCAACAGAGTGGTATGAGTCAACATATACTGTCTTAGCCGGTGAGCAGCTCATGCTAGAGCGAGGAAATTTTTCTTGAGCAGTGAATATCTAGTTTCACAGTCATTAAACTTTTTGCTCAGGTAATAAATAGCATGCTCTTTTCAGCCAGACTCGTCATGTTGGCCCAAAACACACCCCATAGAGTTCTCTAGTACTGTCAAGTACATGATCAAGGGTCTTCCTTCAATTGGAGGCATGATAATAGGAGGTTCTTGCAAGTATTCTTTGATTTTGTCGAAGGCAGCTTGACATTCATCATTCCATTTGACTACCTGATCTTTCTTCAAGAGTTTGAATATTGGTTCACAAGTAGCAATCAAGTGAGATATAAAGCGGGCGATGTAATTGAGACGACCCAAGAATCCTTTAACTTCCTTTTTAGAGTTAGGGACTGGCATTTCTTGGATGGCCTTTACCTTCGCAGGATCAACTTCAATGCCTTTATTGCTGACAACAAAACCTAGAAGCTTTCCAGATCGTACTCCAAATTTGCATTTGTTAGGCTTCAACCTCCACTTGTACTTTTTCAGCCTCTCGAATAGTTTGTAGAGGTGATCGAGATGTTCCTCTTCAGTTTGAGATCTGACAATAATATCATCCACATATACCTCTATTTCATGATGAATCATGTCACGAAACAAAGCTACCATATCCCTTTGATATGTTGCCCCTACATTCTTCACTCCGAACGGCATGACCTTGTAACAAAAGGTGCTCCATTGCGTAATGAAAGTTTTCTTCTCCATGTCTTTGGGAGCCATCCTTATTTGATTATAGCCTGAGAAGCCATCCATGAATGAGAAGACTTTATGCTGAGCAGTATTATCTACCAAGACGTCAATGTGTGGTAGAGGGAAGTCATCCTTAGGGCTTGCCCTATTCAGATCCCTATAGTCTATGAACATGCGAACTTTTCCGTCCTTCTTTGGAACTGGAACCACATTGGCAACCCATTGGGGGTAAGATGTCACAGCTAGGAACCCTGCATCAAATTGTTTCATCACTTCAGCTTTAATCTTTTCAGACATGTCAGGCCTCATGCGACGAACATTTTGTTTGACAGGAGGAAAGTCTTCTTTTGTCAGGAGACGATGAACTACGATGTCGGTATCCAACCCTGGTGTAGCGGTGAAAATCGGAGATCAAGCTATTAATTAACTTGACTCACAAAAAGCAAGAGTCGCCACCGCGCTTTATTATTTCCAAGGGAAAAGGGGAAAGAGCGAAATAAAACCCTAAAGTATGCAATGAAAATACAATGCATTTTTGAAAAGAGATCGAGAGTTCGGGGGTTGGTTATACAATGCGAAGGTATTAGCACCCAATGCATCTGCGGTACTCCGCAGGAACCTTTTGAAATATCTGTTTTTTGGTTAAAATTGTTTGTTTGATTAAAATGGTTCGTTTGGCTAAAAATCGGTGTTGGAGAGACTTTGAAGATACGACGACCTAGTGTCAAAATTTTGACTTAAAAGGTGTGAGTTTGAAAATAGAGTCTTTTAGGAAAATCGACTTAAGTTTGGAAAAATAGTAAATAAGAAAAAAAAGAATGGGGGTATTCGCACGATTGTAGAAGATGTATGTGATGACATGAAGTCAGCTGAGTTGAAACATTTCCCTTGGAATTAATCATAAGCAGGTAGATCTAATATTCGAGTAAGAAATCATAAATAATTAAAATCCACGAGAAACGAACAAGGTAGATAACAAGATAATTGTAAGAAACTAAATGAATGGACAAAGAAGAATCATGAATAAAAGAAAAGTGTAATTAAAAAATTATCTAAACTAATTTGAAATTCTAAGGTTACTAAGTAAACTAAACTTAAATTCTAAAGTGTCTAATTAAATTAAATAAAATTTTGAAGTTATTAACTAAAACTAAATTAAAATTCTAAAGTTACTAACTAAAATTCGAAAGTTATTAAATTAAATCTAAAATAAATTAACACTCTAATATTACTGAATTAGGTCTAAACTAAATTAATTCTAAAGTTGCTAAATTACATCTAAACTAGTTTAAGTATGAACTAAATTCATTATAAAATTACTAATTTAATCTAAACTATATTAATAATATAATTACGAACTTAAATCAAAACTAAATTAATTCTAAATTAAAGATTAAAATTCTAAGATTAAATTAAAATTCTAAAGTTATCAAAATATACTTAAACTAATTGGAAGTTCTAAAGTTATAAGATAGATCTAAACAAATTAAAATTTTTAAGTTATCAAAATATACCTAAACTAATTAAAGGTTCTAACATTACTAATTTATATCTAATTAAATTAAAATTCTAAAGTTATTAATTATGATTCTAAATATTTTAAAGTTATAAAATACATCTAAGCTAATTAAAAAAAATCTAAATTAATACTAAACTAAATCTAAATATAAGATTTACTAATATTTTTTTTTATATTATTTTTTTTTAAAGCCCAAAAAAATAGATAAAATAAATAAACTAATATGAACTCAATTATATTATAAAATTAAGAAGACCTAAAAGGGTGTAATTAAGAATCATGGGGGAGTGTATTGAATAATTTGATCCAAACCTGATGAGAAAACCAAACGCAAGAACAAATCTCATTCTCCCAATAGCCCAAACTCTTCCTTCTCCTTTCCTTTCACTCTCACAATAGATCTGAATAATCACAAAAGAAAATATTATGGGAACACAAAGAACGACGGTGAAGATGATTTTTACCGGTGTTAATGGCAGTTGGTGTTGATGGGGTGCAGGGATCGTAATACTGGAGGTAAGCGTACGACGACATCATGGCAAGAGATTTTCGGCCTGTAATGAGCATACTGTTGCGATAGACTGGTCCACGGTGTTGTCACGCGGTTGTCGTGCAGTGATGCTGGAAGCCGTGTTTTGCAGCGGAAAAAGGTTTCGCGATGGAGTCTCAGAAGATGGCGGAGGAACGCGGTTGTTGAGGGCGGAACAGCGTGGCTTTGGGTTTGGCACGGTGAAGGTTGGGAGGAAGACTGAAGGGAAAAAAATTGAGATCTGATTCTCTCATCCTTTGTATTGTTTCATAACTTTGTTTTGTTTTTTCTCTTTTAATTATAACTACACCAACTGTAGATAAGAAGGCGCTGCCCTGACTGGTTGAAGGCAACCACGGACGGTGTAGTTCGTGCACCTTCAGAATTCTCAATAACTTTTGGATTTTTCCTTCCATAACAGAAACACATGAATTAGTTGTATCCAAATCAATACCAATGACATCATTTCCAGCAGGCCTTGAACTGAATGGTCGAGAAAAACTTGACCAACTGTGACTAACATATGCAGGCTTAGTGCTGCCGTTTGTTAACGAACGAAAGGCGGAGTAGGAAGAAGAAGCAACATCTCGGCGGCGGAGAGAGAGATGGGTTTTGTGAAGAAACTAGTTTTAACAGTGGCGAGAGGAGATGGATCGGATGATAATTGTGGTGGTGAGTTGAATACGATAATGGTTGTGGTGAATTGAGGAAATGGATTTTGTTGGTTTAATGAAAGGGAGTATATGTTGTGAATGGAGTTTCAAAGGATGGTTTGAGGTTCGGTGAGACAGAGGGAGTGAAGGGTGTTTTTTTGATAGAGAGGAGGCAGTAGTTTTTGTTTTTGTATGAAGAGAGGAATAGAAAGTAGCATCGCGTGGTTTTTGCTAATGCCTTTTTGTTTGTTTTTTTGTTGTGTATATAAAAAGAGAGGACAGGTCACTGTGTATTGAAAGTGAGTTGTGTTTTTGGTGATTTTGTATCGATCCTCAATTTCATCCAACAGCCAATGAAAATCAAGCATAGTATATTTAATATTTTTTTGTGACTAAAAAGCCCTTTAATGACAAAAATAAAAATAAAAACTTGAAAGTATAAAAAATAACTCAATTTAAAATGATTTTTGAATATTTTATGAATAAAATATAAAGACCCAAAAATGACCGAAAATGATAAAAAACGGACGAAAATTTATCCGAAAAAATAAAATGAACACATTAAAATAATCTACATGTCACAAAGATTAAAGAAAAATATTCAAGAAGTCAAAAATCAAAAATAAAATAATAATAAAAATATCAGACTAAACAGACGTTTAAGGTTAAAAACGAGACTTCAAACTGTACCGAAAAAATAAAGCGAGCATACCGTCATAATCTACGCGAAGCGCAGATTCATAAAATGATCGGTAAAAGGTAAAAACTTGAAATATTTTTCTCGCTACTTTCCCGCATAGTGTCGAATCGCTTTTAACAGTCTGTCTATAAAACCGAAATATTTTTATTATTGACATATAAACAACTTGGAGCAATGCAACAAATGAGTAAATAGATAAAAATGCATGAAGCAAAATGCCGGGTATTTTACAACTGAAAGATGATGCAAACTTTGATTTAAACTGACTTTTTCTGATCAACTTAAATACGACTAATGATGCAAAATGTGATGAATGAAGATATTTACTAATGATTGTGACCAAATGACAAAATATGGTATGAATGTGCGACTGAAAAAATTAGGGACGAAATTAAGGGTGCAGCGGTGTGCCTTGATGAATCAGTCTTCGAGAATCCACAATCAACTGTACTTCGGGCTTGGGAGACTCAAAACTTTAATTGAGGCGCGACACCTGATGCTCTTGATTCAAACTTGTCTCTGCACATGAAGCAAAAGAAAACATGAACATACACCTTTGTATGCGATTAGAAATTAGTGATACATATGCTAAAAATGTTCAAAACACTTGACAATCTTCGCATAGTCAAAGCTCGAAAGTGAGACGTTAAAACAGACCGTATTTCGTGACCTTGACTTATCTTAAAAATGCAAAAAATAAGAATGGGATCTTAGGTCAAAAATTGGGGTACAACAGCTGCCCCTATTTAAGTTTCTTCTATCTGGAGATATGAAGATTGGGATCTTCATTTCGACGAGATTGAAGGGACTTAAATATAGAATACACAATTTTTGGCCTTAAGATACCGCGATTATGTTCATGATATGATATGAATGTAATGCTCTGAATTTTATGGGGAATGATGCCATATGAGACAGACTATGCTGGAGAAACCAAGCACATTATACAGTAATCCCATAGAGGAAGAGGTTGTAACTCCACTGGGGAAACAAAGTCATAGACTTCAAATGAGAGACTCTTGAATGATTTACATTAGTATTGAGACTGGAAAAGAAATGATTTACATCAGTACTGAGACTGGAAAAGAAATGATTTACATCAGTACTGAGACTGGAAAATGATTGACATCAGCATTGTGGCTGGAAAACAAAATGATTGACATCAGCACTGTGGCTGGAGATAAACATCTCTGATTTCTGAATTTTACCAAGAACGGTAACACATTTCTTCTTTAACCAAGATATCGCTTGAAAAGGATAAAATAACAAACTTCCCCACGGGACTTTTCCGAAAGGGATGCCATTTGCTGAGTAGACCTTATTGTTGGGGATACACAAGCTGCTCAAATAAAGAGGCCGCCACTTGCTTCCTTTCAAAGGTGTCAATAACATACAAGCTGCTCATGAAGAGACCGCCACTTGCTTCCTTCAAAGAATATTAAAACACACAAGCTGCTCATGAAGAGTCCGCCACTTGTTGTCAAAAATCCACAAGCTGCTCATAAAGAAGCTGCCACTTGCCGTTTTCAAGGGAACAATAACACACAAGTTGCTCAAATAGATAAGCTGCCACTTGCTGTCTTCCAAAAATACTAACGTACAAGCTGCTCATGAAGAAGCTGCCACTTGCCGTTTTCTGTACAAGCTGCTCATGAAGAGACCGCCACTTGTTGTTTTCAAAAGAAAAAAAATAACGTACAAGCTACCCATGAAAGGACTGCCACTTGCTGTTTTTCAAGAGAACAATAACACACAAGTTGCTCATGAAGGGACTACCGCTTGTTGTTTTCAAAGGTGATAATAACATACAAGTTGCTCATGAAGAGACCGCCGCTTGTTGTTTTTTCAAATGTAGCAATAACAATACAAGTTGCTCATGAAGAGACCGCCGCTTGCTGTTTTTAAACATGTTGATAACATACAAGTTGTCCATGAAGAGACTGTCGCTTGCTGTTTTTTTTAAAAGTGTTGATAACATACAAGTTGTCCATGAAGAGACTACCGCTTGCTGTTTTTAAAAGTGTTGATAACATACAAGTTGTCCATGAAGAGACTGCCGCTTGATTTTTTTTTTTTTTTTTAAAGTGTTGATAACATACAAGTTGTCCATGAAGAGACTGCCGCTTGCTGTTTTTAAAAGTGTTGATAACATACAAGTTGTCCATGAAGAGACCGCCGCTTGATGTTTTTAAAAGTGTTGATAAAATACAAGTTGTCCATGAAGAGACCGCCGCTTGATGTTTTTTTCAAAGAACAATAACACACAAGTTGCTCATGAAGAGACCGCCACTTGCTGTTTTCTCAAAGATACCCATAAAATATCATGAAGATATTGCTGGAGGTGAGAACCAATAATTTCATCGGGGATGGACAAATTGCTCATGAAGAGACCGCCATTTGTCATAACATAAAGAAATTCAGAAATAATCAAACTGCTCAAATAAAGAGTCAGTCGCTTGTTGTCATGTCGATATTCCAGAAGAAGGTTGTGATAACACTTCTAGGGAATAAAGTTCATCTTCAATGGGGAACCATGAATAAATCCTTCTTGAGGAGACAAGGTATTTACGTTGCAAAATTAATGCTCTCTGCATCTAGATTTCACAGCCTAGAGAGATCCACAGGGTATCGTTCACAAGAGACAAAGCTCAATCCAGGAATAAACTGGAAAGAAAATAGTCAAACAAGACTCCACCCAATGGGGAAACAACTCAAATGGGGATTTATCCTATCCAGAGATGGAAAAGGAAAGCTAAAGCAAGATTCTTCCACGAGAGTTAACTCAGTGGGGAATTAGGAAGGAGGCGCACTTTCTGCTTAAGTTGACACTCTATTTGGAAAGATCAAATACACTATTTGAATAGACATAACCAAGGTATACGAACTTCAATGACATCAACAAATACAACTGTGCATGCATGATGCAAGTGTGAATGAATAAATGAATGCCATGTATGTGCTGACAAAACAAGTAGACAAGATAAACTGGAGATGATAAGACATCATAGCACAACCCAACACTCGGCTAATCTCAACAGGATGGGAACATTACTGGAGATAAAACAAAAGCCATCATTAGAGCAAAGTCCTTTTACAAGGCTTAAATCTCTTTAGAGAGGAAGATATTTTCAGGTAGAAAACCCAAAGTCTAGTCTTCTATTGCAAACAATCCATTGAAAGGATAACAACACAAACAAAGTTTCAGCTGGAAAGAAGTCTTGCTTAACTGGAGATACTGGGAAAACCACCCTCTGATAATGTGTGCAAAGCATATCACATATCTTAACAAATCTAGATTGCCCCTGGGACCAATTTTGGATGCCCCAAGTTTACTACTGATGAGCTACATGTTGCACGACAATTCTTGCGAATAGCTTCACTTCTAACATGCCCCAAGCTATCTGGTTGATGAGGAGAAATCGTCTCAAGAGGATTTTACAAAAGACCTGGCATTCACCATGCTCTGGTGTCTTCAAACTCTTAGAGGAATTCATCAAATCTCGACGTGATTGCCCCGGATTACTGTAGTTGGCACAACAAAGTCTTCAAATTTTGCCCCAAAAGAGTAAACAAGTTGGGAAAGCATTAATTAGGAGAAGCAACATGTCCGTGCTTGCGATCTTCAGGTGACATGCCCATGGATATGATTTTTTCTTGACGTGATCTGCCAATTAATCAACATAGTTTCAGGCCTTAAAAGAATAAACTCATCACTACTGCTTATGTGAGCTTCCTTGATATCAAACAAATGTTTTGTAGTTAGAAAAAGTTTACAATGAGAATGAAAATTCTAATGCAACAGTTATGTAAGTCTTGAAGATTTTGAAAGATATCGCACAAATTTTGCGAGTTAAAGCACCATTTATTTTTGTATAGGAAAAACATATGATACCAACATAACTATTTAGAACATTCATGGGAGTCAGGAACACTATCTCATTGAAGTATGCTTTCAAAATAACCTTGCTTCAATTAGGACTTTTGAAGGTTGTAATGTGGTCTGGTTCATGGTTTTAGAAAAAAAGATTTAAAGGCTCAAAGTATATTTGTACCCACCCGCTCTTC